CACACAAGAATTTCACTCACATGTACTGTACCAATGTACCTGCACATGTGATGTGACAATAAAAGTGATTTGATTTGATTTGATTAGAGATTACCAGGTATAAAATCACCACTTACTAACCAATCAGATCTCCAGAAAGTGGTGTGACCACTGGAAGATTCCTTGGACTTCTCCCGGAAAAGCAAAGCGATCAGTAGTGTCTGAAGTCTTTGTATTTCCTCGATGGTACTATGCAGAGAGCATCAGGTGCAGCTTTACTGCTTGATTTTTTTCTGTAGAAAGCAGTTTTTCAACAGTATTGTTATTCTATAGACGCCAATATATTCTAACATAGGACAGAATCCTTGCTGAACTTATAAAATCAAACAAATCAAAATCATACATAGATTAAGCTTATGTTATTAAATGTAATCGTTTTTTTAATTCAACAGCATTAACTCCGCAACTGGAAGAATAAAAATAAAACGTTTGGGACTACATTATGTTATGTCTGGAAGTGCCATGTTTTACTGATCGTAGCAACTAGCAACGTGCTAGTGTTTTATAGAATATTAGTACATACAGTGCTACACACAGCCCATTGGTTTATTTTCATTACCGACACTGGATTGCCCAATCAAATCTCTCAGGGCAACTGGTCTCTCCCGTACCTTCGCTGTGCCCTTACGCATCTTGTAAAACTGAGTTTAGTGTGGAAGAAGTGGCGAAAATGTGGAGCTAAAACGCTGAAAGAGAAATAGAAACTAAAAATAAATGCAGGAAAACGTGTCAAATTAACCGACATGTAGAATATCTGCTGCATCGTGAACTATATTACCAGTAACAACTAGAAACCAGGCCTCACAGAGCGACAGAGGAAGGTGTAATCAACGTGGTAACCAAATTGATAGAGGGACTCAAGGATTCAGGTAAAATGCATGGATGCTTTGATCATGAGCCACACCTAATAGTTAAAGTGTAGCTTTTTAGTGTCATATGCTGCAGGGCAGTGAAACTAAGAGCCAACCAACAACTGGACCAATTACAAAGAAAGTCTCTCAATATCAATGAATTATGTACATAATCAACATAGATTTATTTTTGATGCATTTTTGTGAGTGATCATGATTGGTCGCCTGGACCAAAAATGCCAGGCCCGATTTATTTGTGCCAGACCAGTCCTGCGCTGAGGAGATAGATTTTATGTGTGTAGGTTTGCCGTACCTGAAACCACTGAAGTGCAAACTCTGCATTGCAGTGCTACGGTAATGTCTGCATTTTAATTTGATCATTTAGAAAATGTCATTATGCTCGATTCCAATCTCCTGCTGCTGGGACTGTATCTACTAGAATACAGGATTCCCACCAAGAATACCTATTAAATCAATCAAATTAATTCCACTTTGATCTACAACAAACTAAAGCTATTTCCATGTCTCCTTTATTAGACAATAAGTTCAGGGTTGCAAGCATAGCTGGACTGGCCATCAGGCATACTTGCCTGGTGGGCCGATGGTGATTTTTCGTTTTTATGGGCCTATGATTTTTTTTTTTGTAACGGCATAAACAATGAAAGGTGGTGGATTGGCCAGATGCTGGCCGATGTGTAAAAATAACTCAGTTGTTTGGTGGTGGCTATGGCGGAGCTTCCACAGATTCAGTAACATTAGCAAGTGGTGGAGGCCAGCAGGTGGATGATGGAAAGGTGAGGCAGGAGGAGGAGAGACCCGAGGCGGTCCGAGTGTCAGGTGAACTGAACTTCAGGTAAGAAGTTATGACCTGCAGTGTATCTGAGTCAGATATAAACCAAGTTTAGGTGTAATTTATTTCCGTTATGTTGACTTTTTACCATCAGTTACAATAACTCGTACTGCGTGCTAGCTAGCATGACGGAGTTTCTATACAGCTGGGTGGGTGCACTCAGAAAAATAAAGGTGCCAACTGGAACCAAAAGTGGTTCTTTAAACTGATGCCATAGAAGAACCTTTTTGGTGCCACAAAGAACCTTTCAAACAATAGTTCTTTGAAGAACCATCAAGAAATGGTTCTTTGGAGCACCTTTAATGGTTTTTCTGGCATGGCTGGCGGAGTGAGCCGTGTGG